ATGGACATCGTCAGACCACTGCCACCGGCTCCCGGAAAGGTAAGATTTCTTTTAATTTTGACTGACTATTTTTCTAAGTGGGTGGAAGCAGGTCCTTATCAGAAGATTGGAGAACGCAAAGTGGTGGATTTCTTATGGGAAAATATAATTTGTAGGTTCGGAATACCAAAAGAGATAACATGCGACAATGGGCCACAATTTATCAGCGCAAAAATTACAAAGTTTCTCCAAGATTTAAAAATAAAGAGGATCACATATTCACCCTATCATCCGAGCGCAAATGGTCAAGCGGAGTCGACGAACAAAGTGATTATTCAAAACCTCAAGAAAAGGTTGGAAGTAACTAAGGGTAACTGGCCCGAGGAATTACCCGAAATTCTATGGGCATACCGAACTACGACCAAGTCGAGCATAGGGGAAACCCCTTTTCCCTCGTGTACGGGTGCAAAAGCTTTAATCCTGGTGGAAGTAGGGGAACCCACCTTGAGATATTTCCAGGTAGATGAAGAATCGAACAACGAAGCAATGTTAGTCAACTTGGAACTACTCGATGACCGCAGGGACTTGGTGCATGTAAAAATGGTAGCTCAAAAGCAGAGAATGGAACGACATTATAATCGAAGAGCCAACCTCTGTTATTTTAAAGTACGAGACTTGGTCCTAAGGAAAGTAACTCAAAAATACCCGGGAGCTCAATGCAGGGAAGCTAGGTCCAACGTGGGAAGGCCCCTACCAAGTTTCGGCTATCATCGGGAAAGGTTCATACGAGTTGGAGAACCAAAACGGAGAAAAGTTGCCCAGTAATTGGAACACGGCACATCTCAAAAGATATTATTGCTGATGAACATTATCTGATCAGAAAATATGTGCTGCACTCTTTTTCCCTTCGTACAGTTTTTGTCCCAATTGGGTTTTTCTGGCAAAGTTTTAACGAGGCAATAACAGAAAGTATACTAGAAAGACAGAATCAATAAGACCTTTAATAGCAATGCACACAAGAAAAGATCCACTCGGGAATGGTTAGATAATCTTTTGCTCTATAGCAAATTCCCACCGGGAAGTTAAGTTTGCTATTGAGCAAAGGTTACCTGATCGTGCACGAGCACAAACCACTATAGGGTTGTTAGATAGTCCTTCGCTCGATAGTATAAATTCCTAAGGGGAAGTAAAGTGTGTTACCAAGTTAAGGATTATCTAGCAATGCATTAGTGNAAATTGGAAATATAATTGCATCATCAGGACCGGGGACTGCGCGACCAGCCCCGTAGAAATAAGTTGTACAAGTTAACCACAAGTAATGGTAATTTCTTTTCAGCATAGCAAATGCTGATGTACTTTTTGAAAATAGAAGGAATAAAATAATTTTTTTTTGTATTTATCTTATTTTTTGTCTGAATGATGAATTAACTTTGTCATTTGAAAGTTAAACAAGTACTTCAAATGCTAGTGCCGTAATAAACATGAGACGTCCTCTTTAAGAGCACCGTAAACATAAGAGGACCCTCTCTTATAAAAACCCTCACATTAAAGGGTTGGTTCCGAAAGATTTATGCCCGAAATCAAAATGCCTTCGGGGAAAGATACACCCGAAGCTGTATACGAAAGGACGCAAAAAGTAAACTTGCGCAAATACTTATCAAAGTCCTCACGAAAAAGGGCTGATGTCCTGAGCCAAAAATGCTTTTGGGAGAATACACCCAAGGCTTCATATAATAAGACGCAAAACAGAAAAGCTTGCGCAAAATTCTTAAGCAAAAGGAAGAAAATTCAAAGATTAAAGACTTGTATGAATATTCAAACGAAAAGATGACTCAAACAATACTTGAGCAAAATATGTTTTTATTTACAAAAGCATGTGAAAACGGCACAGGTACAAGAATTGGAAAAAGAAAAGAAAAGCTAAACTGCAGTATCTCTGGAACCAGGAGGAAGAGAAGTGTCAGTAACCCCGGGAGAAGTGGACGGACCCACCGATGACTCAATATTTTTATCATTTTGTCCTTCAGCGCTGTCATCCTCCGATTCTTCTTTAGTTCCCGAGAACTCGGAACCGGAACCAGAAGGACCAGGTGCATCAGACCTCGCCGGGATTCCACTTTTAGCAGCTAACTCAAGCTCGCGGGCCTTAACAATTTCGGTATCAAAATAATAACACCAGCTTTGGCCTCTTCCAAGATTTTCTCCTCATGCTGTACATAGCGTAAGTTCTCTCAACAACGAGGGAAGCCGCTCGACGCTTAAGTTCTTCTTTGAGTTGGGTTACCTCGGCAGAAATATTTTCCCGGGCGTACCTAGCAGATTTGAGGCTAACATCAAGGTCACAGACAGTTGAACTAAAAAACCTATTATGCTCGATAGTTTTCTTGTACTTCTCTTCCAGTTGGGCATGTTTCGCCCCCGTAGCAGAAAGCTCTTCAATTTTGGAGTGCAAGGCTGCCTCTAAGTTGATCACTTTTTCAGCGGAGGCAGCTTCGCGTTCGCTTGCAGCAAAAATGACGTTGTGGACTTCAGCCCATTTGGACCTAGCTTCGTCAAATCTAACCCTCAGCGGGCTAATTTCTTGGCTAAGGGTTACCACTTCTTGCTCGCTTTTCCGCAAATGAGCCTCCAATACAACAACCTCAACAACTTTGTCTTCCAGTTCAGAAAGGCGAGCGACATGTTGCTTCTGCTTTGCCAAAAGCTGATCCCGTACGGAGGTAATCTCTTCCTTTTCACGAATTAACCATCAGAAGCCTTCGGGAATTATAATAATTCCCGCCAAAAGATTGTTTCTACCAACTTCCCGATAATACAAAGTTATGTCACCGAAAAGCAGGAGGACTATCTGTATAGGGTAAAATATGTTATGACATGTGACCGTCCAAAAAAGGGACACATGGAACCCAAGACGGGGGGATGGCCAAAGACCGAAGGCAGCTATTTTTTTTGTCACCGAAAAGAATAACGCTCATACAGATATGATAACTGCTCTTTGCCCGGTAGCATTTAATAGAGAATATTCCATGGCATTAAGAGCAATTACCTGTTACAGGAAATTTGACATTTATGTTCACCGTTACATCTTTATCAATATCCCTCATAATTGACATTAAAGAAGGGCACGATCCTAGGACCTCCTTCATAGCTATAAATAGTGAGCTCAATTGTCATTGTAAAGAATACGAATTTTCTGGCAAACTTACGCTACATTCTATACAAAACTCAATACAATCTTATCTTCTTACTTTTTGATTTTGTTGTTGTTGTGCTCAGAAACTCTGTTCCCGAAATTATTGCTTCTGCTGTTTCGTCTATATTCTAAGGCTAAGTATTGCATAATTCTTTGATTATTTTATAATTTCAGGATCAAATTAATTCATTTGTCTAGAAACCACGTATAAATTCAACTGTACCGTTTTACGGGCAAACAAATTAATCCCGAGATTAAATTTGAGATGAGTTTATCTCATATTTGGTTGTGATAAAATCATGGTATAACTAATTTCGAAATTAATTATCCCGAGATTGTACCATTATTTTTATCTCTATGAAAGGATAGTATAACTATTCATGTGATAATTAATCCTCAAATAACTTGTTTCAACCAAACGATTATAGGTATCTAAGTTTACCGCTTTCAATGGTCAGTTATACTGAATTTTGTCCGCAAGCGTTTTTATAGATGTAGTGTTTGTATTTTGGGTGTAAAATTTTCCAAACTTGTAGATAAACTATTTTTTGGTGGTCGGTTATAGCAGATATTTTATAATTTTAAAAATAAAACATATTATCTTATCTGCTATAACCGACCATTGAAAGACTACAAATTATAAATTTTATATTTTAAAGAAATTTATATGTAAATACTTTTTGGATGATCTGATATAAACTATTTTTTACACTATTGATTCATGTAAGTTAAAAATTCTTTTAGTATATAAAGAATGAATCATTGGAACAAGACAACATGTGATGAAATCAAGCTACTTTCTAATTGGTAGGTGACCTTTTTTTATAATCAAAGACTAAGCAAGTAAACGGGAACAAAAACTAGAAACATCACTGGATCCCGCACATTACGCGTGTGTACATTTAGAATCTATCACATTTAATAAGTTGCATTTTTTTGGTTTCCACAAGGTGTCGTGTACCTGTTGTAATCCGACTAAATTTAAATTTACGTTGAAAAGTTTCATTAAGTAAAACGCTCTCAAACAAAAGTGATTACATACGCAAAACTCGAATTCAAAATTTCTGATTAAAGATAAATTAATACTTACCTACTTATGTAGCGAGGAAACTTGAGGCGTTAGATTGGTATTACGTGTTATACTTTTCTACTTCAAATCGTACCAATGAATCGAAGAAGTAAAAATACAATTATTATCTCGTGAAACTTAAAGGCTCAGTCTTAATCCAGGTACGTGGATATTTAAAAAGTCAATTCCAATAAATATATATTTTCATTTCAATATATCTTCTTTATGTTATAAGTATTATTTTTTTCACCACGTACAGTGAAGTAGCAATTCTACCTTACCGTGCATTGATCAAATTATATGATATTAATTGCTTTCTAGATGTTAACAGCTCTCTTTTGAAGTAACATATACTGTTATTCTCTAAAAGTAATCTTATTATTACTTCATGTGTTTCAATTTAGATGACAAATTTCGCTTATCGAGTCAATGATCAAATTATATGATATTAATTGCTTTCTAGATGTTAACAGCTCTCTTTTGAAGTAATATATTCTGTTAATCTCTAAAAGTCATCTTAATTATTATTTCATGTGTTTCAATTTAGATGACAAATTTCGCTTATCGAAAGTCAATTTGACTATCCAGTATACACATGCATGCAACAACACAACCATTGTTAGGACCTTGGAAGAGGAAGAACACACACCCTCCACCCCCACCCATCCCCAAAAGGAAAGAACAAAGGAGAGAACTTTTTTTTTCTTTTTGGCATACAAGAACTATATACTACTAAAGTGAAGTTGTTACTTGCGGGACAATCATGAAATAGAAGCTACCATCTTAAGGCTATAATCTATTATCTCTCTAGCCAACTCCTCATCATCTAACAATCAAGAGCAAGAGAGCTACAATATTTGAAGGGAAAAAAAGGCAGTCCGGTGCACTAAGCTCTCGCTATGCGCGGGGTCCGGGAAAGGACCGAACCACAATAATCTATTGTACGCAGCCTTACCATGCATTTCTGTAAAAGGATGTTTCCACGGCTGAACCCGTGACCTCCTGGTCACATCGCAACAACTTTACCAGTTACGCCAAGGCTCCTCTTCCATTCCTCATTGACGTCATAGTCGCATGAGCATGACCGACCCAAAGGATACGACCAAGTCCAAAACGAGCACGACCGTCATAGTTACAATACTTGAATTTAATAAAACCAATCCAAACATAGAGGCTCAACAAGATGAGTTAGTCGGAGTAAAATATCTTAGCTTCTTTATTAATGCTTCATTATTTTCAACAACTTTTCACCATACTTGAACTCCAATTAACACCACTATTATTATCTAATCTTGATTGTTTATTCCTCCCTTCAACCCTCAAAATTGTCTCAAGTTCACTTGGCCTGCATGGTAATGTAAGTGCACCTTCATGATCAAAACCATACTCTTCAGCAGCTTGTTCCAATAGTCTCAAGAATGAAGGATGTGTTAAACAACTCAATGGCACCACAAATCTCTTCTTCAACTCATCTTCATCAGCTGCAATCACTGCAAAATGCCCTTCTTTAACGTCTTCTGGAACGTTGCATGAACGCGGGATGCTTCGAGCATCAAACTCTGCTGCAAGTTTCTTCACCAATGAAAGACTCCTTTGTAACTTCTCCACCACTATTTTCAGATTCACTATCTTGTTCTTTTTCTTCCCATTGGTTCTAGCATTTGCCATTATGATAAAACAATAAAATATTGTATTTTTTCTTCTGATATTTTGATGCTAGGGCTGGAGGCTTTTGTAGGGTTTTTCTTTTGTGTGCTTTTTCTAAGTATGTTACCTAGCTTATATATAGTGTACGAGTAAGAAGGCAAAGTTGAGAGATAAGGTCGAAAAAGGACTTAGTTGGACCAACATTGGTGTAAATATGGGGAGACCAAAGCATGTGAATGAAGTTCTATATCACCTATGAAACGTCCTCTCAATACATAATTAGAACATGTAGGTCCTAATATATACCTCCAATTGTATATTGAGACTAGTTTTTCAGTTTCCCTATTCAGCCATTTTCCACTTTAGTACGAAATCTTTCTTTCCTACTTTTTAATTGGTTGTTACTTAATTAATCACTTTCAGCAGTGGCGGAAACGTACTTTAACAACATTTTCTTAAAAGAATTAGGGATCTTTACAAAAATATCTGGTTAGATATTCATTGTTGATATTTTATAGTTGGTATACATAAATTAAACACTAATTATACATGGTTATATACATATTATACCTAGATTATATA